TTTCGGCTCATCTGGTGGGAACGCCGTATGAGCAATGAGCGTGTTCGACGCCTTGTTTATAGCGCAGGAAGAAGAAATGAACCGCTCAGCACCATTATTTCACGCACCAGACTTTGATGACTGGGCCACGTGTTGCGCATGCCCGCCCACCGATTCTTGCGACGTGCGTTTTCGCACTACGGGGTTGGATGGAAGAAGAGGAGAGGTGGCCAAGCGGTACCTTGGTCAAACGGAATGAAGACCTTTATTTCGAAGTTGGCCTCGGTTGGAGCATCTCGTCTCCTTGGTTGAATACGTTGGCTGGATACACTTATTGATATGGCTTGCAGACAACCTCCATGGCGTTTGCGTTGAGTTTCTTTGTCACTCCCCCTCCCACTTAGCCTCCCCTTCCAAGCACGATTACATTTCTTAGCATTTTATTTTACATAGTATGACTTTTTGTGGCATGATACGGGCTGGTAAAATTCCGCATCAATGCTCGTCCGTTACACTGGTGACTCAGCTTGCGTGCCTCGGTTGCGGGTCTTTCTTCTTATGTATTGCGGTACATTAGCTATGTTTTACTTCTCTAGCTAACATGTATAATGTACGTAATGGTTCGGAGTAGATTATCAGGAATTAAATTTCCGAACACATTTAACCATGTGTTTGACAATCTGAGCGAAGCGGAACACTACGAACCCGGCAGGAAGCTAATTTTTAACCAAGTTGTTGGGTTAGTAACTATTTCAGTTGTGATAACGCTTCAACGGAATGTCAGAATGCTATCTTGATAAGGTGTCAGCAGAACTCCGGTACCTCGTATCGAAGGTGGTGGTGGTGGTCGCACGCAGTGAAGCGCCGTTACTGCGTACACCTGACAAGTTATTATTATTTTTTCGAATCGAAGGTTAGCTGTCACACAAACCTCAGCGGTGGTAAGTGGGATGAGATATGGCGAAGTCGCCCGTACCTACGCAAGTTTTGTAATGATAACCCGTAGATCACAGACTAAACGCTGGTACAACTCCATCACCAGTTGGTCCAGTCACCATCATCATTACACGCTAGCTGAAGGTGAGAAACACACTCCAGCTTTTGTGCCGCGATACAAAAAGGCAGTAAAAAGCGAGATGTGAAATATTACGGAATGCAAAAACTTAAAAAGAAACAAGAAATATAATGCCAAGTATCATATTATGCTCGGAGTGTGAGATCGTGGTTCGATGGGGCAACTAAGCAGGGGGGACACAACTAATAACACAAACTGTACTTTGTGCTATCAGCAAGTGTATCAAGACAAACGTGTTCATTCTCTTTGGGACCCCAGCTCGGTGGTCGGGATGCACCAACCGCTGCCAACTTCGGAGTTAGAGTATGCATTCCTCTCGACCAAGTCATCACTTGGCCTCTTCTTCCATCCACACCCCCGGCGCGCAAACAACGTAGGTTGCGGGAGCCAGTGTGCTGGCATGCGCAACAAGTGCCTGAGCCATTGGAGCCTGGTGCCTGATATAACGGTGCTGAGCGGTTCAGTCGCTCTTCCTGCATCAAATAAATGACTTAAAACGCTCAATGCTCAAGCGGCGTTCTCACCAGACATGAGCTAAACTGTGAAGGCAGTAGCTGTCGAACGTAGCAAGCCCCTTTAGATCTGTCGACCTGATGGGTCAGGTTTCGCAACCGTACGAACGAACGGCTACATCGTAAACTCGGGCGATCGTGATGTCATACCGGCGCCACAGGTCGCGGAGATTGACAAAAGCGCATCTAGCTTGGTTATCTTGGTTTTGGCAATCGTTTTCTATTGAAATAGTTTGTTTAGGTGGGATTGTCGTCCACAGCAACGTAGTGAAGAGTAACGCTTACAGTGAGCCCCTCAGGGTTCAGTGCTAGGTGCACCGCAGTTATCATCTTGAACGCCTCTGATATATTTCTACCAATGGCTGCTTTTCAGTAGAGCTGATTAAACTGCATCATCTTTAAGGTTCCTTGTGGAACTTTGCTTTCGCAGTGACCCCAGCAAAGACTGGGAAGCGACAAAGGGCTTTCCTTCTGCTCTCTACCATACAATGATGCAATATGATCGAACCGTCGGGCTCACAAGAATAATCTGGGCCCAGGTATTTTTGCTTATTGTTAAGGTGCAAAACGTAGGTGTCAGTGTAGTGAACATTTGACCCTCGGTATAGTGCCAACAGGCTGATAGAATTGTAGAAGGCACAACTTCGTCACAAGGTGCTACGCAAAGCTAGGAGCAGACTCGCCAGCTGTTTATAAGTTCTTTTGTTCTTTGATGTTATATGGGGCTACGCGGGAATAATATCTTACTTGCGAAATATCACTACATCATAAAATTGCGCTAAGTTGATGGGAAAGCGATTGCTCCGGGCTTTGCGCGTTGTTTGGTGATTTTCTGGTTGTAAGCATCTCCGTCTAAACCCAGCGTTTGCTATAGTTTTGAAGCTGTGCAAGAATATGTACCGTGTACTGTAGCGACGACCCTGCTGGACAGTTTTCGAAGAAACACGAAAGAAGGCAGGTCATCAAAGACTCACACGTCGGGGACCAAACATAACTTCACAATGTGCAGCTTTCTGGTACTGCGCATCTGGCCATAAGTACCAGTTCACTAAACTCACTGGCACTTTCAATACATTCAGGTAACTTTTCGAAATCACTGGGTAATTCGATAGTCATGGCAATTGGCAGTGTCGTTCAATAAGACACGAATCGCATCTCTACTGCATATTATGGTATGTTATTTTTTAGTAATGGAAGGAGAAGTGAACCGCTCTGCACCGTTATTTCACGCACCATACTGCGATAGCTGGGCCATATGTTATGCATGCCAGCCCACCGACTTCTGCGACATGCTTTGTTTGCACGCCGGGGGTGCGGATGGAAGAATTAGGGGTGGCAAAGTGATGATTTGGTGAAGAGAAATGAAGGCCCTTACTTTGAAGTTGGCCTCGGTTGGAGCATCTCGTCTACCTGGTTAGGGACCGAAGGGCGATGAACACGTTTGGCTAGATACACTTGTTGACATGGCTAGGAGCCGACGTCAGTTGCGTTTGTGTTGTAAGTTTCTTCGATCCTTCCCCTCTAATCATGATCTCATTTATTAGGCATAATATCGCTCTTTTCTGCCGCAGAATAGCCAGCCGTTAGCTCTCCGAAACGATGTCCATCCGTTAGTACTGACTCTGTTGTATGTTCTGTTTTCTTTTGTATTGGGGCACAATAGCTGGTGTTTTTCACCTCTAGCCAACGTGCATAATGATGTTGATGATAACCATTATGTTGGCCGAACGAGTTGACTGATGCCCCGCGCTGAACTGAACCGATAGCCCGGCCGACTTTCGTTCCTCGCAGGTGCACTGACTATTTCGTTACGATAAGCCACGTGCTGAAGTGGTGTCAGTACGATTGGCTTCCCCATCTTAGTTGCCGTATTTGGTTCATCTGATGATGCATTTATGGTGTCTTATTTCATAATAGTGCCAGATTGATCCGCTACTATTCCGGATGCAGTTCAACGATAAGCCACATCTAAGTTAAGTACAACAAGTGCGGTCTGTCGGAACTGTCTTGTTGCTTGTTTCAGTTTCAACTATGCGATCGAAATATCCATAAAGCAAGCAGCATTCGTTAATTCCTGCCTGGCGGCCGTCAAAGTGGTAGCGTATAGGCGACATGACACCTTTACTAAACATATAAAATGTGCAAGCTCTGCTGAGTAGATTGACGCGGAGCACTGCACGCTTCATAAGTGATTCGCGTCACCAAACTGCAAGGCATTGCTATGAGACCATTGCACGAAGCGATTGATAGGCTCGTTTAGCCTGACTACTGTGTCACTTCTATCGGTCTCATCTCTAAGGAGATTACTGCGCCCACCGGTAAATATACTGCTTCTTGAAATCATATATTTAGAGACTATGTGACGTTGTTTTGTCGGCAATTTTTCGGGTAGTACTAATACAGTTCGTTACTTGTGCATTGGAGGGTTTAAGAGGTTGACAATCTTTGTCCACCAGTGTCTGCATGGTGGTACTAATACTGAGTGAAATCAATGTTTGAGTGACAGAGGTCCATCCGTCAACGTGGTGCCCGATGACCACCACGTTTGTGATTTTCGGATAATACGGTCGAATGAACTCGCAGACAACCCCCAACGACTGTGATAAAATGTAGATGTAACTGAAAAATGGACAGCGCCATTGTATGGTCTTAGGACCGACAACAAGAAGTGGATAGACACCTTAGCTAGGACCTGTTGTGTTTGACTTGTAACCTTTAAGTTTCGGGTTCGAGTTCTCCAATTCTGCATGGATTTCGTCATCCTGCTTTCGACTATATGATGTATTTTGTAATTTTAGTATCCTTTTTGTACTGCGGCACATTAGCTGAGGTGTGTTTCTCACCTTCAGCTAAGGTGTATTGATGATGACAGCGAAGCATCGGCAAATAATGCAGATATAGTCGTCCTATCCGATATGACGCAATCGCGAAGTCAATAGCGCTTCTGATGTTGGTCTTTCTGTACACTGGTAATCTTCTTGCTTGACCCGCTATGTTGTGTTTACTCGCGTTATCCTTCGCTTTTTGCCACTATTCGCGATGCGTCATGGCGATAGGATCTGGCGCATTTTAGGACTCGAATCTTTGACTTCAACTGTACGTCTTGCCTAATTCGATGGTGCCAAACCAAGTGCGGTTGGCACCTATCGCCAACTTCTTAAGTTCCTCAACACTGACAAATCGGAGGTAGTTTTCACGAAGCCCCGGCCTCCTACCGAAGCGCAAACCCACTTACTCATGCCGCACCCCATTTCAGACTGAAGTAGCGCGCTCTGTCTCCGACAAACAAAAAGTTGAAGTCAATTTAGACCACTCTACTAACAACGCTGTTACCATTTGAGCCCGGTAACTTTTTTTTACAAGGACGCCCTCATAGTTCGTGGCCGTTTGCAACCAACTTTTACCCATTTGAACCATTACCTATCTTTTTTTCAGCCTTACATACAATGAATTATGGACGATCCCAGCGTAGACAAACCTATCAAAAAGATAATCGAAGACATTGTTTGGTGCTCCGGCGAACCGTTTTCCGTCAACCCATCAGTGGTGAACTTGCTCTTTAGCCACCTTCGGTCTTGGGCGTCTCATCTCGCAAGACAGTTGTACAATGATCAGTTTAAGCTCTCCAACCTTCTGAATGCCATACGCGAGGATCCCCTGAAACTCGCCCATGTGGCAGATTACCTTCGCATCACAGGTGGTGGTCCTGAAGTCAGGGTCAGCAAACTTGGTCTGGACTTGAACGAGGTTGTCGAGGCTTCTTCGGATGACGATGTTCTTCTGAACCACATTGCTGGTTTGTGCGCGAAGCTCGACATACACTTACCGGACTATGTGAACAAATCATTTTCCAAAATCCTTCTCCCTTTTATCCGCGGTCGCAGATTACGGTTGTCTCGGATCGATAATAAGTTTGCCTGTGCATCGGTGGCCTGCTATCTCGCATTTACACGATTGAGACAATCTGCAACATTTCTGATTCTCACACAACCCTTCCGCGGAGAGATACTCTGGCGATGGATCTTCTGTCCATGCGATAAATCTCTGCCAATCGCAGAACAGAGAGGAGAATGCTTGCGTGTACTTGCTCACCTGCTAACGAGTGAAATCTTGGATGTAATTGACCTTGTTCTTTTTTATCGTCCAAAATTGAACATCGGTTTACAAACCCCACTGACCCCCGTTGAAGTGGAGAGGGCCATCGGATTGTTGTCATCTAAACGATCAAAGAGAAGTTAATACTTCCGCCCATTTAGTCACATGTAAATACACCCTATCTCTCACTGGATGGCGTTTTTATTTGGTTGTGTTCACTGGCAGAGAGTTCAGTTTAGTTAATGTGATTTGAGCACCGAAGTGGGGTAGGTCAAATTGCTAAGACTCGCGTAGCCAGGATAACAATAATTTGCAATGGTTAGAAATACGAGATGAAATGCAAATGGAATACAAAGAAGGGATTAGGAAGAGAGTAGAACTCATCGAGACAGAGTATTAAATGCTAGACGCAAGAAATCGAATCCAAGAGCTCCACTGCGCGATATCTTGTAAGATCTTTGTTGTGGAGCTCGTAGTTTCACAAAGATTGCCGGACGCCCTTACCTAATCCCACCATAATGTTGCCGTGTGATGACCACGCAATGCCTTAGCGTTGACAGCGTAATCGGATGGCAATTAATTCTGTTCTTCCCCAAGAGATAGTGTTCCCAAGTCGCCAACTGCCTGATTTTGTTAGCGATTCCGTTAGCAGATGGTCGCCTTCTAGTAACGAGATTGAATGTTCTAATGATATCGAAGAGCCCTGTGTTGCATTTAGATAAAGTCCTTAAAAGTGCTTCCTCTGAGTCTGTCTCCTCTTTCTCTGGGATCGTGCGTGGTCTGTGTCTGTCTCGGTGCAGCGGAGTAGGAACTTTGGACAACCTAGTCCGAATTCGGTCGGCCATTTCCGCAAGGGGTATTGTCCGAACTACCCTCCGGCTAATATGCCGTACCATTGATATGGCCCATCCGGAGGATGGCGTCAATGAAAACGGCAAGTATCAGCCTGGCCAATCATCACAGTCAGTATCTTTCTGATGGCCTGCCGAACAACTTCGTGCTGCCAGCTGGGTGGTCCGGGATTATCTCGGTCTGGCGAATGGTTCGGCGGCAGTGTTCCAGGACGTGGTGGGTTTTCGCCTGGCAAGCGTTCTACCTATAAAGAGCCACATGCGACGCGGTGGATGTGACTCGCCACTAAATAAAGTCACTGCCCCTTGTTTCACCTTGGTAAAACATTGTACCCCAGCCCCTTGCTGCTGAAATCGTGGGAAAGATTGGGTCCCTGTTTGGTCACTCACCAAACGTAAGACGTATGAACTGAACAGTCATCGGCTCCCAATGGATGCAAATCTCTGACTTCGCTCCGCTGCCTTGCGAATAGGCTATTGAGACGGAGACTGTTTAAAGGCGCAGAAAAGTTTCTGTACAACTAGCGAATTATGAAAAATCAAAAACATTTATTTGCGCATCGTCAGCGGTAGTGTTTGGTCAGTTAGTCGTTTATCCTTGTTCGGTTAGGAATTCGTATTGGTGTCATTATTTCCGCTTATACGATGTATTTTTCGTATTGTATGTGCACCGTTTCAAGAAAGCACAGGTTCCTGAAATAATCGTCGATACGTGTTTTAAAACATTTCACAAAATCGGCCTCTATTAATCCTTCTTGTAGTGTATTCCATAAGTCTACGATTCTTCGTTCTATACAAAGCTGATGTGATACCTTGTTCATGTAGGTGATCCTGAGTTTGTTACGGTGTCCTCGGGTATTACAGGGTTCCCGCAGGTGAAATATTGGCCGCAGTATAGGGAAGTGATTCAAGTGTAGTAGTGTGTAGTGGGTCATGATAACGTCAATTCTTACTCAGCAGTGGGATAGTGTGTAAAGTCCGGGCCTTCCACGTCTTTCATACGGAAGCTTTCGTAGACTCGGTAACATTCTAGTTGCGATATGCTGTATTTTCTCCAGCTTTTCAGTTTCTCACTGGATTATCGGATGGTAATCTGGGGCGCCGTATTCAATGATTGGTCTAATGAGCGAGGTGAATAGATGAGACGATTTCTTCGGACCATGTAGAGAAACTGCGTCGTAATGTTCGGAGCATACGAAGTCCCGCACGATGCATTTTCTCTGTATCATATCGCGAGAGCACTCCTAAGTCTCTAATAGATGTGTTAGGGTGGAGCAACTGGCCGTCCAAGGTGTATGATCAAGTGGCTGGACGTCTGGTGATACTGATGAACTCCGACTTGCTTGCGTTAAGAGGGAGCTGCATTTCAGTGGACCACGTTGATAGTCGATCTGTCATGCTGGAGGCGAGCGCAGTCGTTCTGGTTATAAATGGTCCTCCAGATTTTCAAATCTGCAAACAGGGCATATGGTGACTGGAGCTTCTGCGGAAGATCGTTGATATGAATAAGGAATGATACCGGCCCAAGTATAGTTCCACTGGTCTATGGGAACCAGTCTGTCAGGTAGTCATTAACCTGTACTCTTCGTCCCACAATAAACCCGTGTAACCACTGAAGTAGCGTGCCACCGATTCCGTACGTCCTCAGTCTACGAAGGAGTCATCATCATCATCAACAGCAGTACATCAGCCATTTGAACTGATGCTTCGCTGCCATACAACCATGAGGACCTATGAAATAAAGAATAAGAAGAGGGAGAGAAGGGGGACTTACCTGAAAACCATAATGCCCTAAGCAAACATTCAGGGTCAAGGCGCCTACACCTTGTGTAAACAACATACCGTCACAAACAGCTGGCTATCGTGCAAAGATAAGGCGGCATCGGCGAGACAGCTTCCTTGCGGCTTTCACTGCCACGCGTCATAATCAGCCATTACCCCGCAGATAACTCAGCACCAAACACACTTTAAACAGACAATCCGATTAGGAGACGGCAGCAGACGCGCCACTGGTGTCGGTTGCGAGCCATGTCCTGTAAAGTCTCGAGCCAAGCACAAGGTGAGTCACGTGGACTCCAACCCGGAAGGCGAGACGGACCAACGGCACCCAGTTTGGTCGTCAGTGACTTCATTTCCCGCTGCCAAGTCAACTTCTGTCCACCACGAGCCTTGCGCCATCCTACACCTGGTAGACTGAACAAGGCCCTCCTGGGTAAGCGGTGACCAGGCATGCGTAGCACGTGCCCGAGCCAACGCAACTTATTCAGTGCTATCTGTTGTTCTAGGGAGCTAGCATGATCATCACCACCTAGTACTCGCCTACGCACATCATCGTTGCGGACACGCTGGTGCCATCCGACACCAGCAATGCTTCGCAAACAACGATGATCAAAGACTTGAAGGCGCCTCAGATCTTCAGACCGAAGGGGCCAAGTCTCACTACCATAGAGCAGAACGGCCCTCACTGTGGCCTTGTATACACGGCCTTTCAGACGGAGGGAAACTCCCTTCTGTCGCCAAAGATGACGCAGGTTCAAGAAGGCAGCTCTGGCCTTTGCAATGCGTGAGCTAACGTCAGTTTCTATGCGCCCATCATTGCTGATGCAGCTGCCAAGATAAGTGAATTGATCAACCACCTCGAGTTCCTCGTTAGCAAGCGTCAAGGGGTCATCGAGTGGCTGGTGGTCCTGCAGCAACACTTTGCACTTTGAAGGTGCGAAGTGCATACCAAATAATGGGACCACTCTGGATAGGCTATTCAGGGTTGATTGTGCCGCCTCAACATTGTCGAAAAGCAAGACGATATCGTCCGCATAATCTAGATCAACTAACCGTTCACCAGGCAGCACTTCAACACCTACATCGTGAGATTCCGCAAGGGAACACTCCATGATAGAATCCACGACGAAATTGAACAAAAACGGGGAAATCGGACAACCCTGTCGAACGCCACTTGTAGTCGAAAAGCTATCCGATAGGGCACCATAGACCCTGACGCGGCCTCTAGTGTTCGAGTATAGAGCACGAAGGATGTTCACATATTTCGTGGGAACACCTTTTCGCGCAAGTATTTCGAACAGAATCGATCGATCGACTGAATCGAACGCACTCTTGAAATCGAGGAACACAGCTATTGTCGGTCTGCGGTATGCGTGGCGCTGCTCTAGCACCTGCCGCAAAGTAAATATATGGTCTATACAGCCACGTCCTGGGCGAAAACCGGCCTGCTCTTCCCTAATCCGAGATTCCCGTTCTGCAGTGAGGCGACGAAAGATAATCGAGGGCAGTAATTTTGTCACAACTGGCGTTAGGCTAATACCCCTGTGGTTCGCACAGTCTGTGCGACTGCCCTTCTTGTATATTGCCACTATAATCGATTCGCTCCAATTAGCCGGCACACTCTCTTCGTTCCAGATACGTTCGAATAGGGAGGTCAGTGCTTTGCAGAGGACCTCACCTCCATCCTTAAATAGTGCAGGTGGGAGGGAATCCGGGCCAGCGGCACGAAAACGATTGAGGGCTGTGATCGCGTATCGGACCTCGGCCTCCGACGGAGGCTCTAAACTAACCGTCCATGGCTCGTCCTGCATCACCTGAGTAGGAAGAGGTCCGGGAGCAGGGGGCCAGCTGAACTGATGTTCAAAGTGTTCAGCCCAACGAGCCATACGGCGTTCCTTATTGTGTATCAGCGCACCCGCGCTGTCTCTGATTGTCTCACTGACGCCTGGTTTTCTCGGACCAGTGGTGCGTATTAGCTGGAAGAGCTTCCGGTAATTGCCTACTGCTCCTGCCTCCTCCATTTCTTGAGCCCTACTGGTCCACCAGGCTTCCTTGTCAGCACGTAGGCTCTGCTTTAGTTCACGCCTAATAGCCCGTCTGGTCACATTGTGTTCAGAACCAGCCGGGAGGTGCCTTCTAGCTTCCAAAAGGTTCACGGACCTCTCGGATATCCAGTGACTGGTGCGATGACGACTGATAGTGCCACAAACAGATGCTCCTGCGTCGTGCATAGTGGCCGAGATCCTATTCCACTGAAGGTTAGTGTCATTAGGACAAGACAGCGAGAGTTCGCTATGCAGTGCTTCTTGATAGGCTTGCCTGACAGAGGGCTGGGACAATTTCTCCGTTGCCAATCGGGGGAGACGCTTTGTGCGCCTTCCGGTAAAGTTCATGGAGAAACGACAGCGCACCAAGGCATGGTCAGAGTCGACACAGGTACTCCAGTACGAGCGGCAATCCAGAATGGAACCGCGCCACCTGTAACTTATGGCTATGTGGTCAATTTGGGTCCATCGCTGGCCAGCTACAGGTGGACGCCAAGTGGCACTTCGGCACCCACTGT